GCTGCTGCTCTGGGGCGCTGGCAGTGCCACGGGTGATGCCCAGCAGAACCAGCACCCTCCTCCCTTTCCCATCCCACCACTGAGTTCCACACGGGACACCTGCAAACAGCTCCCTGGGCTGGAGACAGCCCCTTGACTCCCCTGCATGTCCTCACTGAAATACACCTCTATTTCCCTATGGAAAGGGGCTGTTATCAGCAGCCCAGGGACTCAAAAATCTCCATTTCCAAGCTCCCAAGAGCAGGGGCATCCTGCTGCTGCCAGCCCAGTGGGAAGGGCAGGACTCCATCCCTGTGGGTGATGTGGGGCTGAGCTGGGATGGATGGGGCATGGATTGGGCAGCCTGTGCCAGGCACACGCTGCAGGGAATCTCCCCACGTATTTCCACAGAATCCCAAAACCCTGGTGTGGTTTGGATTATAAGGAGCCTTAAAGCCCATCCCATTCTGTACACTTGGAGTGTTTTCTCCAAACACAGAAGGTGTCCTTACTGGAAAAAGTCCAGGCTCAAGCACTCCATCCTGGATGAGCCCCAGGTGTGACACTTGTGCTGCTCTGGACTCCTCACCCTGTGCCTGTTTGGGCTCCCCAGGCGCCCCCTGCCCTGCCCCAGCTCCCAGAGGGGTCTCTGTCCAGTCTGGGGTCACTGGGATCTGCCTCAGCTTTCCAGCTTTTCCAGAATCTATTGCTTTGTTAAATATTTTACAGTCATTCTCCTTTTCTGTTCAATTGGCCAAAACACATCTCCAAGCAGGGAAAAATTGGCCTGAGTTTCCCTCTGGCTTCCAGGGGTGTGCAGTAAATCCCAGTCCACAGGGAAAGATGCAGGGGCCTGCACTGCTCTGCCTGTTCCAGCCCGCTCCTTAACGAGCTGGAGGATGGAGTGGATGGAGCAATGATTAAATCCCCATCTGTGAGCAGCCTGACAGGATCTGCAGATACATTTGAGAGCAGGATTAAAATTCCAAAAGCTCCCAGAGAACTGGAGGAAGGGTCCAAAGAAGCCAGGACAGAATTCAACAAAAACAAAGGCAAAGCTTGGAGCTTGGGAAGAATCTGCAGCAGAGCCATGGGGCTGCAGGGGCTGGCACAGGTTGGCAAGGGCAGGGCAAGGGCAGCAGGCCCTGGCAAGAGGAGGATGATGGAAGAAGAGCACTGTGGAAAGAGGCTGAAAATCTGGTTGTCTGATTAGAGCAAAGACTGAAGGGCCCCTCCAGCACTGAGCATCACAGCCACGCTGTGCCAGCACCCTACAGTGGCCTGAGAGAGGGGACACCCTCCTTGGGGACAGCTGCCACAGCAGGGACAGCACCAAGTGCCCTGATGCCCAGGCAGACCCTGAGTGAAGCCCCAGCTGCAGCAGCACTGACTGCAGTGCTGGGGCCCTGCTGCTGCCAGAATCAGACGCTCCAACATTCAGCAGTGCTTGTGAAATAACAATGATCTTGTGTAAAATAATAATAATCACCATGCAAGAGCGTGGTTTTCCCGAACATGAGGTCTGTTCCAGCACACCCAGCAACCCCAGGTCAGCAGGGTCGGGTTTCCTGGCTGCCTCCCTGCCGCCCTCCTGCCAGCATCCCGTTACAACACTGCCTGTGCCCGGGTGTCACAGCCCAAGGAAGAGCTGCTGCTTTGGGGGAGCAGAGACACCAAACCCCAGCAGAGGAGCCTCCAGCTGCTCTGCCTCCCCATCAGCAGCAGCCCGGGGTCAGCACAGGCAGGAAATTCTTCCTGCCCAAGTGAAGGCTACAAGCAGAGGGCCAAGAGCGCTGCGGAAGCGGGAGAGCTCCATTCCTCTGAAAGCCATAAATCAGCACTAATTCCCCTGCACGGGGCCAACCCACACGGCCCAGGCTGGGATCTGGGAGCGGAGCCTGGCCCCAGCAGCCTCCCTGGCCCAGCTCTGCCCTCGCTGCTCCTCAAACCCTCCTGCAGCACGGGGGAAATGTTCCCCAGTGCAAACCACTGGCTGACAAACCAAACTCCGGGCTGGGCTCCTCGGAACTTCCTAACAACAGGCTGGAAAATCAGCCACGGGTGCTAAAAATAAACAAAGGCAGGGAAGAATTTGGCTGGATCTGGTTTGCCCATGACAGGCAGAGGGAATCGGAGAGACTCTGCAGAAGCTGCAGGGAGCACTGAGGGAAAACAGGGTTTATCTGTGCAGCTGGTTTATCTGGGTTTATATGTGCAGCCACAGCCCCTGAGCCCCCTTCACAGCACAGAGTGAGGCAACCCAGGGAGGATCCATGGAATCGTGGGATGGTTTGGTGGGAAGGGACCTCAAAGCCCATCTCACCCACCCCTGCCCTGGGCAGGAACATCTCCCACTGCCCCAGGCCTTGGACACTGCCAGGGATGGGGCAGCCACAGCTGCTCTGGGCAAAGACCCCCAGCTCTCTTAGAGAGATATCTCAGGGATAAGAGCACCCCCATGCCTGGGCCCCGACCCCCAGCCCCATGAGTGAGGAGGAAGAGGAGGAAGCACTCACTCGAGGAAGCGTGTGATGTACTCGCGGCTGCAGCGGGACCAGGTGAGGGGGGACGTGTCATACAGGAGCTGTGGAGACATGATGAAAGGTCTTTTCCCAACTGGCTCACAGTCATTGCTGCTTCCATCATGCTGAATCCCAAAACTGTGTAAGACACAGCCCACGGAGGGGAGGTGAGGCACGAGCACCACAGCCACCNCTGAGCTGGGCATGGTTTGGCTCAGAAGGGACCTCAGAGTCACTGAGCTCTGGAATGGTTTGGGTCAGAAGGGACCTCAGAGTCACTGAGCTGGGAATGGTTTGGGTCAGAAGGGACCTCAGAGCCCATCTCTGTCCCACCCCCTGCCATGGGTGTTCCATCCACCTTCCACAGACCAGGTGGCTCCAAGCCCCTCCAGCCTGGTGCCCGTCCCGCAGCTGTTCTGGAGGAGCTGCTCTCCATCCCATCCCATCCCATCCCAGGAATCCTCCTGGCTCTGCTCGTCTGCTGCCCCAGGGAATGACAAAGCTGACAGTGAGCTTTTTAAAGCAAGAGAGACTCGAGAAGCACAGCAGTGCTTTCCTCAGATGCCAGCACAGCCTCACAACACAGCCACCATCTCCCACCCTGCTGCCTTGTCCTTAGTCACACCACTGTCCACATCCCATGTCCCAGTGCCCCCATGAGAATTCCTTCCCCTGGGCACACTGTGCTGAAGAGAATGAAGCTAATGATTATTTTAGGGCTGTGTTTACACGCTCTGCCCTGAGGAATGGCTGTGGGAGGGGGGGATGCCCAGCACACATTTTCTCACCTCATCCCAAGGGCAAAGCTGTAGATTTACCTCCAGTGGCCAAAGCAAACAACTGCCCAGGAAATTCCCAGTGTTTGCTCTCCTGCCTGTCCACAGCTGTGTTTGAACACTCCACAAACCACCACAGCACCTCTGCCACAGCGTTTATGTCAAACACAATTCAGGTCCTGACCCAGGACCGAGACGACAGAGCACTTTCCTCAAGAGCCCAGCAGCACATACCAAACTCATCTGAGGAAGAGGATGGGCAGAACATGGCTGGGAGGGACAGGAGCTCACTGCTGGGGCTGCCAGAGCTCCCCATGCCATGGAAAAGCAACTCCTCTGGAACATCACTAAAAGCCCCTTTCCTCCCCATCCCAGGCTGCTCTGACACCAGGGCAAGCTGGGGGTTTTGGCTGAATCTGTGCAGCAGGGGTTTGGTGACCAAGGGGACATGTGGGGAGCAGATGGGTCAGCAGAAATGCCAGGATGGAGATGGCAGCTCCTCCAGCAGTGCCTGGACACTTCCAGCCAGCACTGGCTGATGGAATGCAGCAGGGTGATAAACTGCAGCAGGATTTTTCAAAACAACTCTGAATCAGGCTCCAAGAATGCCTGGGTTGCTGTTCTGTCACTGAAGGACACTGTGGATATGTTTTACATCTCTGAGCGTGGAGCCTCTGCCCTTTGTTTGGGTCACAGTGCAGCACTCNCGGAGCACACCCAAGGGGCAGCACTGGGCTCCTTTGGCAGCCCTGCCCCTGCCCAGCTCAGGGACAGACGCTGCCCAAGGCCTCGTGTCCCCAGGCTGCTCACAGGGGTTTCATGGTGACCTCAGCACACTGCCTCGCTCCGGCTCTGTCCCTGTTTCTGTAACACGTACTTGACCTGGGACATGGAGAGCTGTCACCACAGACCCAGCTGAGACTGACAGAACCCTGCTGAAGCTGCTGGGCTGGGCTCTGCCTCAAGCACTTGGGAGCTTGCAGGGCCTTAGGACTCGCCAGAGGCTCGCTGTGAGCTCTCCCAAACCCCATCTCATCTCACATCATCACTCAGTGCAGGAAGAGGGGCTCAGACCTCCTCCTGCTGCTCACCCTCACCCGACCCCTGCCTGATTCACTCCTCTATTTCCCTTCCCTTCTGGAAGCCAAGCACTCGAATCATACCAAGAAAAGCTGGTTTCAAACAAAGCCATGTCCTGGCACTCTGTGCTACCTAGAAAGCACAAGTGTCCTTGAATTCCCCTTTTTTCCGGTGCCAGCTGCTCTCGAGGAAGTGCTTGCTGCTCCAGCCTCCCCTGGCAGTGCTCCAGAAATGTCCCTCTGCCCCAAAAGCTGCCCCAAAAGCTGCCCTGGGGACCCAGGGACACCCAGCCAGAGGGGCAGGAGGGGGGAAGCAAACATCCACACACAGACACTGTGGGACCCCAGAGCTCTCTGTAAAACCCTGGATATCCTCCCCCTGGAGAGGCCCAGCCAGGCAGGAGACCAGCCCTTCCACACTCCCAGACTTCTCTAAAGCTCTTTTGTCTCCATCCCGTGCAGGGTAACAGGACACCGAGCACTGATAAAGCCCTGGGGTTCCTGCTGAGCACCGCGGGCACGACCTCAGCAGATGTGCATTGCTTCTCCCCCTAGCACCTGTGAAAGCCAAGCACCAGGAATCCCAAAGGCTCCCCAGGGACCCTCCGCTGCTCAGAGCAGGGGTCCTTGGGGACTGTGCTCACCTGTCCCACAGGTGGCCGTGCAGGTGGTCCAGGAGCCAAAGCGCCACAGGAACTCGGGCTGCTCGATCTCGTTCTCGCTGTCAGCCGGGCGCTGGATGGTGTACTGGTACCTCACCCCGGGGTTGGTCTCCTGGAACAGCAGCTGGGGACACAGGGGACAGAGAGAGGGTGAACAGAGCTGGGGGACACAGGGGACAGAGAGAGGGTGAACAGAGCTGGGGACACAGGGGACAGAGAGAGGGTGAACAGAGCTGGGGACACAGGGGACAGAGAGAGGGTGAACAGCAGCTGGAGGACACAGGGGACACAGGGGACAGGCAGGAGGTGGTTGGGCAGGGCAGTGGAGGGTGGCACTGCCCCAGGGGCACCTCAGAGTGAAGGAGCTGCCCAGCAGGACCAGGAGGATGTGACCCTGTGCCCAGCACCCCAACAGAGCTGGGTGGGATTTGGAGTAACCGGGTGTGTGGAAGGTGTCCCTGCCCACGGGGGGAATTGCCCAAGCTGCCTCCCACTGCAGAGGGGCTCCTGCTGCTCCCGTGGCTGACACAAGCCCTGCTGGAAGCGTTCGCCTCGCCAGGGCCGGGAGTTCATCCCTGTTTTTCTTAGCCTAAGCACTCCCATTATTGCCAAAGCTTTGTTGTTCTTGGAGCTTCAGCGGGAGAGCCAGGGCGCCTTTCCAAAACCTCTCCATGAACATCGAAACGTTGTTGTCCACGGGTTTTAATTAGGCTATGAATCCCAGAAAGTGATTTGTGGGTGCTGAGCACGCCAGCACTCCCATTAACAGCAGCCCTTGGCAGCAGCAGGCCCAGGATGCTGCTCACACCCCACCCGAGCTGCTGCTGAAGAAAAGGCAGGAGGAGATTGAGGCTGCTCTGGGTGAGCCCGTGCAAAGGAGGGGATGTTCTGGGGAGTGCGTGGGGCTGAGCCACGGCTGCCAGGGCAGGGGGATCCTGGGGGTCCGTGGGATGCAGCTCCGTGGCCACCACCACCCCTGCACCACGAGGGATGCCAGCCTGGTGCCAGCTGTGCCATCACGTGTGGGATCATTCCCACTGGTTTCTGCAGAGGAAGGCTTGGCCTCACAGTCACAAGGACAGTGACTCCCACAGCTCTGCGTGAGCTGGCAGCTCCCTCCCTCCCTCCCTCCTGTCCAGCCCAGCCAGAAGCACCAGGGGCTCTTTCCCTGCTGGTGATAAGATATGGGAAAGGCTTCAGGAAACAGCTCCTTCTCCTCACACTCCCTCTCCTGCACAAATATTCTGCAGAATGCTGCAAAAGGGACGAGGCTCAGCTCCAAGTGGTGTGGGCTGGAAACATCCCCGGGCTGGCAGCGTGTGCTTGGCTGTCCCAGTGCTGGCTCTCAGAGAAACACACCCTGAGGAGGGCAGAGCCCATCCCCTGCATGCAGGGAGGGCTGGGAGGGACCACGGCAGGATCCATCCTACCTGGATCCATCCTACCTGGATCCATCCTACCTGGATCCACACAGGCTCCACGGTGGGCCCCGGAGAGGTGAGGTTCTCCCAGTTGCCTGTCCTCTTGTAGGTGAAGGTGGTCCCTGCCACCCTGTAGTCCCCGTTCCACTGGATGGTCCAGCCTCCATTCAGGAAATACTTCTCGGGGTCCTCGCTCCGCAGCGCCAGGAAATTCCCGGCTTCTGCCACCTCCTCAATCCGGATCTCCCGGGCTCCCACGGGGATAATCCCAATGTCCACGTAGCCTGGGAATGGAAACAAGCGTTGGCCTTGGGGGAGTCAGAGGTGTCTGAGATGATTTTTGTCCTTGGGTGGGTGCTGTGTCCCCCGGGTGCCAGCACTGTGCCAATCCTTGCACCTCTGTAAGGCACCAGTGGGCACCAAGCCCCACCTGAGTTCCCTGCTGCCTTATCCCCAAAAATATCAACAAGCTGGAATTAACCTCCCCCTCCAAAGGAGCAGCAGCAGCCCAGCTGTGCTGGAGCAGCACGGGGTGCTCTGGGGACAGCAGTGGGTGCCCTTACCCAGCCCCTCGCTGTCCTCGAAGGTCTTGTGCACGGTGTGGCAGGTGGAGCCGTCCCCGTGGCACACCCCGCAGCGATCCTCCACGGCGTGAGAGTCAATCTCATAGTCACAGCCCACGTTCTGCAAGGCAGCCTGTCAGCCCCACACACACCAGCACTTCCCAGGCCGTCCCAGCACCGCCTGCATCGTCCCCAGGGGATTCACAGCATCCTGGCAGGCCTTGGGCTGGAAGGGACCTTGGATTCAAGCACCCTGGCAGGCCTTGGGCCGGAAGGGACCTTGGATTCAAGCATCCTGGCATGCCTTGGGGTGGAAGGGACCTTAAAGACAATGCAGTCCCAGACCCCTGTCATGGGCAGGGACACCCTCCCTGAGACCAGGGTGCTCCAAGGTTGCTCCAGGTTGCACCCATCCTGGCCTGGGTGGTGCTCTGGCTCCTTGAGGCCAGCACAGAGGCTGACACAGCCCGTAGCACCCACCCCACAGGAGCCAGGAACGCTCTCCAAGGGGGAATGGCAAAAGGAGCCAGCTCAGCACCAGAGGGAGGGGATGCTGAGTGCCCAAGGCTGGGTGCTGCCCCATGGGTGCCCTCCAGGCCCGGGTGCCCCCGGGTGCCAGCCCACCTTGCAGATGCCGTTGATGCAGACGTCGCGGCTGGCAAAAGGAGCCAGCTCAGCACCAGAGGGAGGGGATGCTGATTGCCCAAGGCTGGGAGCTGCCCTGTGGGTGCCCTCCAGGCCCGGGTGCCCCCGGGTGCCAGCCCACCTTGCAGATGCCGTTGATGCAGACGTCGCGGCTGGCGTCGCTGTCGTAGCAGGG